GTCTCCAGGATGCAGACTACCAAGGGAAGGGTCCTGGAGTCAGCCAGGGGCTTCCTTTTATATTCTTCCCTCTGACTTCACGGGCCTGGCAATGGGAAGCAGCTGGTGACTCTGTCTCTACTTTGGAGCCCCCTGCCACACTCCCCTCCTTGGGCTGGCTTCCCAGCTCCCAGCCTGGAGGAGCAGCAGAACCCCACTTGCCCATCCCAGGGGAGTATGCTTTTAGGAAATGGGCTGAGTGAACAGACAGCAGCTGGTGGGAAGATGACATGGACCTCCAGGGGTTTTTAAAAGGGCTATGCATTCAGCTCTTGTCTCTGTGCTCACACAGTTGGAACAGGCTGGCAGCAGGGCTGGATAGTGAGTATGGAGGAACGAGTCCTGAGTCTGTCTGTGTCCTGCTGTCTTTTCCTTGGCCTGGAAGCCCCATTTCCTGCTCTGCCCTTGGGTTTTCATGCTGTTTCTAACCTTTAAAAGTCAAAGATTTGGCCTTTCTGTTACCTTATTTGTCTCCTGGCTGTTTTTGGACTCTGTGTACTCTTGAGATGCTCTCTGTCCCAATTGCACTTGGCTTTAGACCATCTATCCAGTTAGCCTATCAGGGGAGTCGGGGCTGGTTGTAGAGAGCTTTACATTAAACAGGCCAACCTCTTCTTCTCAAATACCCATGTTATTTCTGCTTGTTTATATGCAGGCATATGTCAAATATATTTTTAAAGGGGAAAATGCTGCACATGACAGGATATGAATTTCTTTATAGCCTAAAGGAATTAATGTTTTGTTTTTCAGCAATAAAAATTTAATTATAGTGGAAGAGCAAAGTGTATTTGGATGAACTGCAATAACAAGAAACAATATAGGTGGAATAGAAACTACTCATCAAATGGTTACTTCATTAAAAACATTCATTTAAAAAATAAAAAAAAATCCAAACCCCCCCACACATTTATATTTGAAAGTAACAGAAGCTAACTTTAGAAAAATATGCATGTGATCTCCTGGTATTTTTATTAGATAGATGTAGAAGTGAACATTGATATAAAAGTGTATATATTACACACACACACACACGTATGTAAATTTCTCTGTGTGACTATATTAGTTTCCTGTGGCTGCTATAACAAAAGTACCACAAACTTGGTGGCTTAAAACAACAGAATTGATTCCCTTTGAGTTCTGGAGGCCAGCGGTCCGAATGAGTGTCGGGGGCTAAAGTCAGGGTGCCAGCAAGGCAGTGGTTCCTCCGGAGGCTCTAGGGGAGAATCCTTTCTTTCCCATTTCCAGCCTCTAGAGCTGCGTTCCCTGGTGCTAGGCCCCTTTCTCCATCTAATAGCATGGCATCTTTTTCCCTCAGTCTGCTTTCCTCTTTTTGTGTGTCTCAAATCTTGGTCCCCAGGTAATCCAGGATAATCTCATATCAAGAAATGAAATCACATCTTCAAAGTCTTTGCCATATAAAACAACATTCACAGGTCCTAGGGATTAGGGTGTGGACATCATGGGAGGCCCTTACTTGGCCCACAGCAAGTGTGGGTGCACCAGTGTGTGTTTAAATTCTGTATCTCTATCCCTTGAGCTGGTCTAGGAACAGGTATTCCCTTACTCCCCACCTCCCTGCTCCCACCCAAATAGTAATGAACATACATGACCACCCAGTGTCTAGTTCTTGTATCTAAATCCCAAATGATATTTTTCACTAAAATGGACCAAGTTTTTATTATATTATATTATATTATATTATATTATATTATATTATATTATATTATATATTTATTTTTTAAAAAAAGGCTGATTCCAAAGAGAAGAAGCCGGGAACATCCTACTGTCCCAGAAAGTAAAGTGTTCAGAGAATAATGAGAACTATGAAAAAGACACCGAAGCCAGCTAGAAAGAGCTTCCATGGGCCAAAACTAGGCATTTCAGACATTGAAATTAACAATAGAGTAGTGGATTACAACGCATTGGATAAAATAGTAAATTCAGACCATATTGATAAAATAAACTTATAACTTGAAAGTCCAATGAGGAGCAGGATATTTCCAGTTTCTAAGTGTCTTTCCACAGCATCTAATTAATGACAAAGAGGAAAAGTTTAAGTTGGCAGTGGAGAAGCCTGGCACATCAAAGTGACTGTGATCAGTAGTGGGACAAATTAAAGTCCGGGGCCTCTAACAGGATGCAAAGAGAACACCATCATTTTTGTGGTAGCCCTGTAAAAGATGCATAATCTGAATTTAATCATGAGGGAATGTAAAGACAGACCGAAGTTGAAGAATATTCTAAGTGATTGGCCTGTAATTTTCCAAACACACTGCAGTCATGAAAGTTAAGGAATGTAATGTGAGGTCTAAACAGCCAGTTGGAAGTTCTAAGCTTCCTGTAGGAGGATCCGGGTAGGCATTTGTTAGTGGCCCCTGATTTAATCATTTGTGTCTTCTTGGGCTGGTTGCATTCTGCAGAGGAAGCTCTTCAGATCTCCTGCCCGCAGGGTCAAGTGCAGGGTGCATCCCATAGGCTGCATCTCAGCCAGCAAATGAACCCCCCATCCCCTGAGGCACCCTTGTATCAGCTGGGCCTGGTGTCCCCAGGCCAGGTGTTCTCTGGAAAATCTCCCCAGTGAATAAAGCTTTATTCTTGTGCCTGGGTGGGAGGTGCCATTGCCTAATGAAGTAGAGGAAGGGATCTAGGATCTAACATAACCATTCCTTTTCACCTGTCCTACTTGTGTCAGTCACTCCTCTCCCCACCTCCCCTTTGTGGTGTGACTTGGATGGGTTCTGTATTCCCTTTTACCGGGATTTAAATTACTTGTCATCTTAAACAACTTCCCATTCATTTCCTATTCATTTAGCTTTCTTGACCGTGTCACTTGACTAGACCGCATTAATAAAGTACCACAGACTGGGTAGCTTAGCCAGAGCAAAAGTAACTTCCACACACTTGAGCCTAGAAGTCCACGATCAAGCTGTCAGCAGGGTTTGTGCTTTCTGCAGCCTCTCTCCTTGGCTTGCAGATGGCCGCCTTCTCCTTCTTTCTTCATCTGCTCTTCCTTCTGGGTGTCTGTGTCCTCATCCCTTTTTATGAGGACACCAGTCATATTGGATTAGGGCTCATCCAAATGACCCTATAGATCTGCCTCCAGATTGAATCACATTGAAGACACCGGGTTTAGGGCTTCGATAGAGGAATTTTTGGAGACACGTTTCAGCCCTGTAACACTAACCATTGCCTTTCGTAGCTTTGGCACTGAGTTGCACTGAGTTGCTAGTCCCTGCCTGTGCTCAAGTTTGCATGTGTGGTGCCCTGTTTCTACGGGCCTGGCTTCTGCTGAGTAACAGGAGCAGATGGGGTTGGACAGGGCGTGGAGTGTGAATGTTGAAATCAAGTGTTAGATTTGAGTGAGTGAGCTATTATTGTTTCAATATATATATTTTTTCAGTTTTCCTTTTTGTTTCAATATTTTTATTGATTTCAAAGAGGAAGGGGGAGAGAGAGAGAGAGAGACAGAGAGAGAGAGAGAGAGAGAGAGAGAGAGAGAGAGAGAGAGAGAGAGAGAGAAACATCAATGATGAGAGAGAAGAGAGAATCATGGATTGGCTGCTTAGATGGATGTTTCAGTCCTTTTCTGCCTCACATCTTTCCAGATTCTGAGGGCATTAGCTCCTTAGAGGACCTTCCCAAAGTAGGGCACTAAAAAAAAAAGTTCCCCTTTTTACCAGCTTGAAGTTCCCTAAATACAAAAATTTTAATATTTCTTCTCTATTGGGGAAAGGGTAATTAAAGACCCGTGATTATCAAGCATGTATCTCTAAAAGGAGTGCACCTTCCTCTCCCCCCAAAAATGAATTTTACACATTATGAACATTAAGTGATTACAGAGCTATTTTAAGAAATTGCCAATCTCAAAATTGCACAAGCTGGCTCTTTGATATTGGTGTACAAGAACAAAGAGAGGCCTGCCCACTGAGCCTGCTGTAGGGTGAGGAGTTCATCACAGCCCCATCATGGGCCTTCTCACTACTGTCGCATCATTTCTGTTACAAAGGATATAACAGATGTCCTCAGTTTCCCTCTTTGAAGTAGTTGGCTGGGTGCTGATAAAGCTCTTCATACCCCCCTCTCCTAAGGTGAATGGTCACCTGCTGCACAGACGGGAACGGTGTCTGATTGAGTTAAGAGAGGGCAGGAACCAGTGTGGGTCACGTCTGGACCGGAGAGAACCAGAGTAATGAATCCCTGGTTTGACGAGGCCAACTTTCTTTATATGTTGAAATTTCTACTTTATTATTTATTTATAATTAATCCTACGCCAGAGAAGAGAGGCCTTCTGCTTTGTGTCATTTGTCTAAAGCAACGAGGAAGAAGGCTGTAGGAATTCACAATCAAGGCGTGAACTTCTTTCACAGTCACCTGTGTAATTTTTCTTTCAAATAAGGAACTTTTAAGAATGCCAGAGGACACCGGGCAGATGCTCAAATGTAGGACAGTAGGAGTGAATGGGATGCCCGGCACTTCTATGCCTTGTATGGGCTTCTGGATGAAATAAAAAATATGGTGTCTTTTGGGGAAAGACTCCTTTTTGTTGGCATACTTTAGCAGATCCCACACAAAGCAGAAATGTTTCTGCTCTGGGTTGTGGGTAATGATGTGTCTAAAAATAAAACACAGGTATCTTATCGAAAAAAAACTAGTGTAAACCTAATTTTAAAAAATTCTACCCTAATTCTGCCTTCCAATCAAGCCAAACTTTTCATACTTTTTTATTTCCTCATCCAGGTTCATGTGTTTATCTTTTCTTACATAGTTGTAATCTTGCAGTCAGTCATCCTCTTGCATTCTGATTTTTGGCAGGGTATGTTTTCATGTTTCATGTTTGATGGCTGTAGCACTGTAGCAAGTCATTGCTTAACCAACTTTTGTGTGTGTGTGTGTGTGTGTGTGTGTGTGTCCGTTTGCTTTAGGATGTATTTTAATTACGCCTTTGTTTTCTGATTTTGCAGGCAGAGACGTTTGTTTGGGTTAACAATGCATCAGCACATTCCCAGAGTGTTGCCAAGGCCAAATATGAATTTTTATTTGGCAAATCTGAAGAGAAAACTCCAGATACTAGTAAGTGTTTCCCTCCCCTCCTCTTTCAGGTCACTGATTAAATTAGAGGGTAAAAAATCTCAGGAGCTGGGAATGCTTCAAGCACCTAATTGAAATCACCTAGAAAAGACTGCAAGGGTCACATCCTGCATTTCTGAATTCTATATCTGAGGCAGTGTTAGCATGTCTCGGGAATTAGGGAAGGGATATTGCGAGGGGTTAGGAGCCTGGGCTCTGGTGCTAGACTTCTGGAATTTGAAACTGGCCTTGAAGCTTATGAGATGTGTGACCTTGAGTAAGTTATCTAATGTATAACTTAGTTTTTCTACTTGGAAAAGAAGATTATAGTGAAGTGTGTCTCAGAATTCTTTTGAGGATTAAGTAGATTGACTTATGTAAGGCTCTCAGAACCACACTCTGCATGTGGTAACTGCTGTAAAAGTGTTGGCTGTTGCTATTATCATCATATCCCTGACCTTTGAAGTTGACGTTCAGAAGGACAGACCTGAGACTGATTTCTGTTTTGAGGGGACAAGGAATGTGAGCTAATGTAGCTGTTGTTCAGTTGAAAAAGTCAAATACTTGTACATTTGATATATGTTCGGTGGGATTATACAGTGGACCCATAATATTTGGGTAAATCAAGAATGCAGTGTATACACAGCCATTTAATAATCCCTTTTCCTTTATAACGAATGCCTATTAGATATTCCATTAGTTGGGAACTGTTAAGAAAGTTTAAAACAGCTAAGTTAATTTAAAAAAAATCATTCAGCTTTTATTACAGGTCTCAATTTGCTATTTATCATGTACCATAAATCCCTAATTGTTCTGGGCTTTCTGTTTGGGGCACTTAGTATCTATTCCCTATTTCTCAGACAGGAAGTACTGATTAGACTCACTCCAATACTCCTTCTTGATTTAGCCTTAACTTGGAATGCGACATGGTGATTTTGTGCTGATTAAGCTTGTTTTGACTTGGATAAAACATGATTTTTACATTGATATGTAAATACCTGCATATCCTCTTCTTACTGGTGGGTGGAGTTTGGTTCTTCTTTACTCATAGGTTTTGAGTAGTTTTCTCTGTGTACCTGAGGCAAATCAAAATGACACTTTAAACCCCCTGTTCCTTATTTGTCCTGGTAAAAATGGTTGGTATTGTTTGCTTTTTGTGATGTGATTCTGCAGGTGCGAATATATGCATGCATTTATTGAACAAATATATTTAATGAGCAATTATGTGCTGGGCACTGTGAGGGTGCGAAGTAGAAGATGCAGTTCTTGCACTTTAGCTTATTCTTTGGTTGCTAAGGGAACTGTGTCTGAGGTGACTGAAGGAAGGGAAGGCTCACTGTCAGTTGTGCTCCTGAGGACTTCCTGGAGGAGGGGAAAGTTGAATTGGTTCTTAATAACTAGGATCCTGATAAATAGAGTCTGGGACCGGCTGGAGGAAGGGTGTGGTTGCAGAAACATAAATTGTTTGAGGAACAGGGAGGAAACTAGCCTGATTGGTTTGTAAAGCATATCATGAGAGATAAGTTTAGAAAGATAACCTTTAAGAAAGGGGCAGCCCTGGCCAGTTTGGCTTGTTGGTTAGAGTGAAGGGTGTAGGGTTTGATTCCCGGTCAAGGGCACTACCTGAGTTGCAAATTCCATCCCCAGCCCCTTTCGGGGTGCTATAGGAGGCAACCAATTGATGTGTCTCTCTCACATGGATGTTTCTCTGTCTTTTCCCCCTCATCCCTCCCTTCAACTCTCTCTAAAAATCAATGGAAAAAACATCCTTGAGTGAGGATTAAAAAAAAAAAAAAGAGAGAGATAGGGGCAGAATCTTGCAGGGCCTTCGAAAGCAGGGAAAAGGAGTTGCATTTTATTCAGTTATGCAAAAAGGAAGTGCCAAGAACTGGTTTAGATAGATAACTCAAGATGGATTGATCAACACCCCCCCCCCCCCCCCCCCCAGGGGTCCCAAGGTCCCAAGGTCCCAGATTGGAGAGAGTGTGGGCCGGGTTGAGGAACACCATTCCCCCTTTCCCCCCTGCCCCAATGCACAAATTTCATGCACTTGGCCTCTAGTAGGAGGATAAAAGATGCAAGTTTTTATTGACTTTGGAAAGTCTTTTGCTATCTTCACAAAAAAAAAAAAATGATGGCACATTTTTATCTTTTAAAAAATACACTTGAAGTTTACTTATATAGACCATTCATCTGTCAACAAAACACTGCTCACACTTGAAGACTATCAGGAAAGGCAGTAGAGAGAATAGAATAGTGCTTCTGTTTGAATTTGATTGATAGACATACCTCTTCACACACAGGATTTTTTAAAAAGTGGGTTAAGTAAGTGGATTTGAACTATCTTAGTGCTCACCTATCCCCTGACGAATGCAGGCCTATGGTTAGCCCAGGTGAGGCTCCCACAGTCCCTCCTTTTCCTTGCAGTTCCACGAACGTTCTAAGAGCTGACTGGAATGGAAGAGGTGAACCTACCACGGGCGGCTGGTCACCTCCTCATTAAGTCACGGCACAATGATGTCACACTCAGCCCGAAGCCTCTCAGCCATTGCCAACCACTGTGCTAACCCCGGGGAAGCTCCTGAAAGCTGCACCCCCAGAGAGCAGCAGAGAACAGAGACGCCAGAGAAGCATGGCCCCTCTTTCTTGCACTGTATTGATGATGAACAGATAGTGAGAATTCAGATTTTAATTCTCAGCCACAGGATTCTTCCTGCTGTTCACATGTTCTCCCATACTCCATCCAACACTCTAAGCTGTGGTGGCTGGTTGAAGATTCCTGCAATAAGCAACAGCTTGCAAATAGTAATCTTGACTTGTTTTCCCTGGAACTCCCACCTGCACCCCAGGTGAAGTCTCTGCTCAGTGGCAAAGTCTAAGGCTGTCACTTTCCTTGGGACTAACTGGGGATCATGAGGCCAATTTCCTCACTGATCTCAGGGATGCCACCTGAGTATCACTGGAGATGCATTCAAAGTCACTGTCAGCATTTCCATTTCTCCAGTAAGCTGTTTCTGGAGCACTAAGATAGTTCAAATCCACTTACTTAACCCACTTTTTAAAAAATCCTGTGTGTGAAGAGGTATGTCTACCGGACTTCCTCTGACCACACCTTTCCTGTCTGATTGCTGCACTCAGGTGGCCAGCATGGCTTTCTGAACTGTTCAGGTAGAATACATGGGCGGCTTCACTGTGGGAAGGTGCACTCTTTGAAGTGTTCCTAAGGAAGCATCAGGAGGCCAGGGTCAGTCGCTCTCTCTCTTTTGATCAAAGTCCAGAAGAAAGAAATGCTTGAGAGAGCCTCTGTCCCTCCCTCAGCTTGTAGAGGGAACAGGTGACTTACCCAAGTGTGTGAGGAAGTGACAGGCCTATGGATGCTAAGGAGAAGAACCAAGTAACTTCTTATGTGAACAGTGGGAAGTTTACAAAATCTCACTCTCATGTTCTCTATTGATTTATACTTTTTAAAGATAAAGGAAATGGACTTCTGGGATATTAAAGAATGTGCCTGAGGGCATATGGTTTAAATGTTGGAGGCCAGGGGAGAAGGAGATGGGGCTGGGGTTTGACAGCCTGGTTTTATAGAATTGGGGGGCGAGGGTGGGGAGGGTCACTCAGGTAGAATTGAAACCCAAGCCTGGAGCACAGGTGGGGTGGAGGTCCAAGTGTATCTTCACTTGAAACTAAAAAGTGATACACAACTGGTGTTGGACTGGTAAAAGCCTTTGAGTTATTGCCAACGTCAATGCAAAACCACCCTGTAAAAGGGACCCTTTCCCAGCCCAGGATACAGAGGGCTCCTCTATGAATAAATAAGTCAGTAGTCCCTAAAATCTGTGAGCTCACAATAAAATGGTATAAATGATAAAAAGGAAGGACATTCCATGAAAGGAAGTGTCAGCATATATAAGTAGAGAAACAGAACCAAGGACTAAAGATAATAGAATATTCTGAAATGGTAAAATTGGTTTGTTTAAAAGATAAAAGAGGGAAAAGAAACCATTGTGATTAAAGAGGAAAATAGGAAGTAGAGACATGTCTATTTGAACAAAAACCAAATATAATGTACAGAAAATGGAAAATACAGATAGTGAAATTAAAAATAATGGTTGGGGTAAGTACATTATTGAGTTTATATTTGGTAGGGACCAAAACTTCCTGCTTTCTCTCCCCCCCTACCCCCCAACCCTCTCACTGCTTATCAGATGCTATCTGTAGAAAAAGGAAAAGGAAAAATAGCATCTGTAGCTCCAAGCAATATGTTCTCATTTTGGTAATGTTTATTTCTGATTTTTATTGGTGTGTTTCACACCCAAAAGTGCACACACATTTCTTCATTATTCAGTAAACATATGAGGGGTTGAGCTGTGCTGGGCATTGTTCTAGGTCTTTGGGATAGAGCACTGAACAAAACTAAAATCCCTGTTTAACCAATTGCCTAACAGATAGATTGTGCCAGTTCAGACTTCCCTCTGCGATGCTTCAGCGCCCACCTCCCACAACTGGTCCGTGCTGAGTAATTATTAACCTGTGCCCAACGTAATGGGGGAAAGGGACGGATTAGCCTTTAGTAAGCATTTGTTTTTTTATTTTAAATACAAATTTGAAGTTGTTATTACCAAAATAATACTTGTGTATAACCTGAAAAATGTAAGTTTGACTAAAAGTGTGCATGGCTAAAAGCGAGAGTCACCTGCTTCACCACTTCCCATCCTGTCTCTCTGGGGCACACACTTTATCTCTCAACCTCATGAGCCTTCCCAGTGGCAGTGACTTTTGCTTATTGCATTTTTCTTATACTCTTTATTTATTTATTTTTTTACTTTGTTTCTAAAGCTGTTTTGGTAGTTGCCCCATAGATAATATACTTATATCTGTATTTATTTTCTGTTAAAAAAGCATCTATTCTGTAATATGACAGAGGGGGAATTTGGCTCACGTATTCTGTCTACTCCCCCATTCCAAAAGCTGTATTTTAATTTCTCTTCGTTATATTTATGGTT